AGGATCGTTTAGACAGACTTGAGGTTATTATTTCAAGTATTATTGAAAAAAGGGATATTCTAAGTAACTTGTGTGAAAATGAGTAGTCGGGGTATTATTAATGAATTACACGCTCCATCACGTAAAAATTTTCTACGTCGTAGGGTTATTATGAAGGGGATTGATGATTTATTTCAAGTGGACTTAGTCGAGATGTGGAAGTATTCATCCCCTAATAAAGGGTATCGCTACCTTCTTACTGTTGTAGATGCATTCTCAAAATTTGCATGGGGTGAAGCAATTAAATCAAAAACTGGTAAAGATGTAACTGAGGCCATGGAAAAAGTATTTAAAACTGGTGGAAGAGTACCTAAGAATCTTCAATCGGATGATGGGAAAGAGTTCTTTAACTCACACTTTAAAGCATTAATGAAACGATATAAAATTAATCATTATTCAACTTTTAGTACACTAAAGGCTTCAATTGTTGAACGTTTTAATAGAACATTAAAAGAACTCATGTGGAAAGAGTTTTCTTTCAATGGGACATATAAGTGGATTGACATGTACAAAGAGTTAATAAACAATTATAATAATACAACACATAGAACAATAAAAATGGCTCCCATTGATGTAAACAGAAGAATGAGAATCATATTTTAAAAACTGTATACAATAACATAAAAATGTTTACAGGTAGCAAACTAAAAATTGGTGATAATGTTCGAATTTCGAAATATAAAGGAGTTTTTGCAAAATCCTACACGCAAAATAGGAGCACTGAAATCTTTAAAATTATTAAAATACAAAATACTAATCCTGTGACATACTTACTGGAGGATTTAAATTCTAATCCAATTAAGGGCGGTTTTTATAAAGAAGAACTGAAAAAAACTAGTTTCCCAGATGAATACCTAGTTGAAAAAGTCTTGAAAAGAAAGGGTAACAGAGCTCTTGTCCGTTGGCTCAATTTTCCCAAAACTGCTGATAGTTGGATTGAAACATCTGAAATTTTGTAATAATTCAAACACTTTGAAAATTTTCATTTTATTATTTTTTTTTTATTTATGATATTTTAATAAATTCTTAGATATAGTATTGTTTACATAGGATTTATTCTTAAATATAGTATTATTTACATAGGATTTATATATAATTTTAATATCTTAGATTTAAACATTTTTAAATAAATTATTATTATATTTTATTACAAGCTTATATAATTTGTTTTATTTACATATCTTACATTTGTTTTATTTTTTTTTTTTATTTATTTATTTATTATTTTTTTTTTAATATTTCTTATTATTCTTTGAATTTCTTAGCATAATTATCTGAAGCATAATGCTCTATTAGGTGGGTAATTTTTTCTATAGTCGCACTTTCATTTTCTTCTATCTTTCTTTTAAGTGATATTTTATTAGTTACAGGTCTTTGAGAGCTCTCTATTTGGCTACGCCAAACCATTGTCTGAGCTTCCAAAGTGGCCATTTCACTCCTTATTCTATTTTCTACTGTAGAATAATGCCCTATTGCTAGAGTTGAAACTCCATCATCACATATTATTCTTTTATCATCTTTATTATCTAATGTAATTTTAACTACTTTTTCTGTACTTATTTCATGTCCTCTTGATCGAAACATGTACATTGAATCACATTCTTGCTGGCCAGTAAACAAACAATTTTTATACCCCTCAAATGTAATTTTTTGTAAACAACTACGTTTTATACCTTTATTCTTTTTCACTGTTTTCTGGGGCTGATTACCTACACTTTCTGAAATATATGCATACATCTTGGACCTCAAGCCTACAAATTCTGTCATTGACCTACCATTCAATTCATCCTTAAAGAAACCTAACCGCTTCTTATTACACTGCTTAAAATTAAAAAGTGCAGCCAATTCATCTGAATACTCAGATGTATCAAATTTATACTCGACATCATTTCTAATGTCTGCATATAAATCTTCTGTTTTTATTGAGTAAATAAATGAATCAGTGTCCATATAATTAAGTTTTGGTGCATCCCCAAATTTAGGTTTCATGTATGTAAGGTGTTGAGGTACAGTCTGGCAGCGAGTACACATTTTGCGTCGTTGCGAATGGCAATCAGCCGATCATGAGAGCAGCGAGTCCAAGAGGGAGAGTTGCAGAGTGACGAGAGGAGAAGAGAGTCAGTCGCTGAGAGAAGTCGTAAGGAGCAGTCGTGTTTCCGGAGTTATTTCATTAAATTGTTAAGAAAGCTACTAAAGTCATATGAAGTTAAATATCAGTTGTCAAAGTTGCTAAAGTCGCCTACAGTTGTTAAATCACAGAAGTTGCTAAAAGTTTATGTTATTCCCCACTTATTATAACCCATCTCAGCCTTACTTAATATATTTAAATAAACTACTTAATACAAACTCTACATTTGGGGGCTCGTGCCGGGTCTGAGATAACCAATTAAGTGTCGGAATACGTAATGAACAGAGTTAAACTAATTAAGTGAATGCCTTAAAGAAAGAAGAACAGAAGTTCTGAAATTCATTTAACACAAAGAAACTGCGCATTAAAGTAATAGGTGAACAGACAAGATTGAACAAGAATAAAGAAACTGCGCATTAAAGTTATAGGTGAACAGACAAGACTGAACAAGAATAAAGAAACTGCGCATTAAAGAGATTGGTGAAGAGACACGATCGAACAAAAACAAAGAAACTGCGCAGTTAAATTTGGTGTTCGGTATTCGGTATTTGGACGCGGATATAGACACAGAACTGTCCCAAAATGACGCGGCGAACCCCGGCAAGAAATTGTAGTAGCCAGCCTGCTAGTCGGTTCTCCCTTGTCTTTCTATGTCCGCCAGACTAGGATCGTCGGTTGCCCGTCAGGGCTCCCTGGCCTGTGTTCACCGGGTTAAGGGTAACCTAGTGTATAAGGAGATTCGGTTTCGTGCACTTCTAGCATTGCTCTTTGCTAAGCTCGTCGGATTGTCGTGGGTTTTCCCTCATCTTCCCTATATACACACTGCACTACGCAAAAGAAAAGTTTTAAGTGCACTAACTGTAATCTACAGTTCAAAACAACAAAGGATATATTCGGATTCTGGTATGCGCGGACGGACCAGTAAGCTAATCAAGAGAACACCAGGAGTAGGGGTGGCTAGCTGTTATTCGCCATCCCTTTCTGTACCCTCCCTGCCATGATAACTCGAGAGATTATGTTTGCGGTTATCCCTTAATCAAAGTTTATTATTATATTATAATTCTAATTCACATTGCGGAAGCATCAAGATCGCTCCACGAAAACTTGTAAGGATGCTATGGCCAGGATAATAACTCAGTCGGCCCAGGAGTCCTCTACAGAAATATTTATAATTTTACGGAGACAGGTAGGAGAAAGGACGGGCCCGAAGGCCGGTATGTTTATTTGGGTGCGAAAAGGGGGAGGCGATGGTCAGGAAAAGCTTCCGAAATCCGGGCAACCGGCTCCGCAAGCCGTAGTCCGATTGCCAGATCCGGGACGAGGGCGCATCTTCCGAAGTCGGACCGATCCCGCAAAGCCGGGGTACCGGTGTTCCCTGATCTTCGAATGAGCGGCCCGAAATGAGAGCTGCCGGCCACGCATGCCATGTGCCGGCCGCCCTGGGTCCCCGAGAAGGGATACCGAAACGGCGAGTCGATCCCGCAGGCCGAGTACCGTCCCGCCGCCTCTGGGTGAGATGGGGCCGCCCGGAATCGGAGGAGACCGGTCCAGCAAGCCGAGATCCAGTTTCCCCGATATGTCCGAACAAACGGGGTCCTAGTGGGGTGGGGAATCGTCCGGGAATCGGAGGAGACTGGTCCCGCAAGCCGAGATCCAGTTCCCCGATATGCCCGAACGAACGGGATCCGGGTGAGGGCCACCAGCCATGCAAAACCATGTGCCAGTCGCCCTGGGTGTCGGGGAAAAGGGCTCCAAAACGGAGAGGCGGTCCCGCAGGCCGAGTACCGCTTCGCCGCCTTGGCAGAGAGAATGTGGATGCCTAGCCAGGAAGAAAACCGATCCCGCATGCCGGGGTACCGGCCCCTCCTCTAAGAGAAGGAGAAGCGAAGGGTTGCCGGCCACGCTGGCCATGTGCCGGTGGCCCTTGCTCTCCAGAAGTAATGGGGCGCCGAGAGGGTAAATAATTTTCCGCGATTGAGTTCTATTATATGTCCAGAGTTTATTTTTACAAATGTCGGTAAACCTAGCTGTTCCCTACATCTAGCTGTTCCCTAGCGCACTCCGAGTTTTCCCCCCGGGGGTGGCCCTTGGCCAGCTCACCGATAATTTACTCCAACTCCATTTTTGGGGCACGTGGCCGGCGGCGTGGTTTTATTCCGATGTAATCCTGTAGCTCCGTGGCACGTCTGGTCCGTTGCTGGTGTTCTGAGAGAAGAGGCCGGGCTCGGCTTGCCGAGGCCCTTTTATAGGCCTCCGGCGATCGGTAGCGTCGTTTTACTTCGGGAAACTTCGGGTGAGCTTCGGGTGAACTTCGGCTGGCGTCATGGTCGCCGATCTGCTACTCGGGCCCTGTCGTGTCTGCCGACGCCATGCTTCGGCTGATCGGTCTTTGTCGTATGCGCCGACGGCATGCTTCGGCTGATCGGGCCTTGTCGTCGGGTGTTTGCCGAAGACGGTTCGGCTGGCCGTCCTTCGGCTCGGTCGGCTGCCGGCTGCTCGTATGTTCGGCCGCTCTCGGCCGCTCGTTTCCTTCGGCTGTTCGTGGCCGCTCGTGTGTGTGTTCGGCTGCTCTCGGCCGCTCGTTGTCTCGTCGTTGTTTTTCTCTTAGATCTCGAGCGCGTTTTTTTCTTAACGCTAGTCCCTACCACTAAATCCCTAACTAGTGTGCCCTTCGTGGGTCTTAGTATTTAACACTTATGTCCTAATGCTTAATACTAAGTATAGATGTTCTTACGTACTAGGAAAAATGGACTTAAATACTAAGAAAATGAGCTTAAATATTATAAAAATGGAAATGATCTTACATACTACAAAACATGGTTGTGAGGCTTCCTCACACTCCATCCCTACCTCGGGGATGAGGAAGGACGGTGACGCGGTCTCCGCCGCGTGAGATCTGGACGCGGTACGTCGTGTCGCCCATCTCTATCAAATACCGCAGGTACTTGGTGACCGGCTGCTGGAGGCGCGCCTGCACCTGCGCGATGAGCTCGGCGGGGAGCCATCCGCCCTGCGTGGTCCAGCCTGCAGGAGCGCGCACCCAGTCCTCCGGTTCGGGTTCGGGTTCCGAGTCCGTCGATGCCTCCTCGTCCGAGTTTGGCTCTTCCTCAGGCCAAGGAGCGCGGCGTCGACGGCCTGCATTGCGCAGGATGCCGGGGCGGTCGTCGGTGGGCGCGTCCGGGTCGCGGTCTGCCGGGGCGCGGCGAAAACGCCAGCGGTATTCGTCCGTGGCGGGCAGTGGCCGTACCCGCTGTATCGGCCGGGGGGTGACCATGGTGCAGCCAGCGGTGACCTTGTCGGCGCTCCTCGGTGGAGGGACGCGCGTAGGTGCCGCTTGCAGCAGCCTCTCGGCGGCGGCTCGGGCTGTGGCTCGTCGGCTGGCGTCAGCGGATGTTGTGGGCCCCTCTGGTGAGGCCAACAGCTCTGCCAAGAGTGGCCCAAGGGTGGCGCGGGCGTCAGGTGGCCCCGAGCGAGGGGGTGTCCTCTGGCCGGTGGCGAGGTCGGGCGCGCTAGCGGCGGTACCGGCGTTGTGGTTGCCCTGGCCAGTCGCGACACTGGTGCTGTGGTGTCCCTGGCTGCTGCCCCCAGCCCTGGCAAGGGTGGTTTCCAGGGTGACGGCAGGCGGTCCGCCGGCAGCGATTCCGGAGACTCTCGCGTCCCCAAGGGGTGTCGCGTTGGTGGTCCCGGTGGCTGCTGCCGCGGCCGGTGATGCGCCCGTGAGGCGGGCAATGGTCCTGTTGGGATGATCCCGTGGGTCGGCCGTGGTCTTCCCGGCGTTGTCTTCCTCGTCGGAGATGAGGATGGCGTCTTGCGCCAGGTCTGGCTCCTCGTCTTCGCCGGAACTTATCTCCATGATCTCCTCCTCGGAGATGTCCTCGTAGACCGCTCCCAGGGTTCCGGGAACGGCTACGGGCGGATGCCGGGCGACCATCGGCTCGACAGTCGGTGAGGCGGCCGGCGGCTCGTGGCTGGCCAAGGCGGCCATCAGCTCCTCGAGTGGAGCGGCGGTCAGGGGCTCATTGGGGGCCACGGCGGTGGTCATGGGCTCGTCCTGAGCCAAAACGGAGGTCATGGGCTCGTCGGGAGCCAAAACGGTGGTCATGGACTCGTTGGGAGTCACAGCGGCGGTCACGGGCTCGTCGGTAGCCAAAGCGGTGGTCATGGGCTCGTCCGAGGCCAGAGTGATGACCATGAGCCCGTTGTTGGCGATAGGGGTGGTCAGGTCGGAGATCCTTAGTGCGGCCATCGACTCATCGGGAGCCCCGGTGGCAGGCGGACTGGGGTTTCTGCACCGTCCGGGTAGCGTCGCCTCTGCCTGGAAGTCGTCCAAGCAGAACGGTGTCGGGACCCCGTCCTCGGCCAGGATCGCGGTCATCATGTCCTCTAAGGACAATCCCTCGCACCAGGTCGGGCTGATCCTCGGCGAGGATGAGGATCCGGTGGGGGCCTCCACCGGCGGCGTTGGCTCCAGCGGGACGACAGCGGGTGGTTCCGTGCTGATCGTCGTAGCTGGCAGTGTGGCTAGCAGCGGTGTCCCGTTATCGTCGACGTTGAGTTGCGGACGGATCGGGGCCAGCGGCGGTGGTGACCCGGCGCTGGTCGGTTTTGCAGCCGGGCGGGATCTCTGACCAGTGACTGCCGGCGGCAGTGGTGCCATCTGGGCGTCCATCGCGGGGTGAGGTCGCCGTTGGATGGGCGTCAGTGGTGGTGGCGACTCGGGGTGGTCGCGGTCCGACGGAACGGTTGGCGCAGGCTGGGCTGGAAGCGATCGTCGCTTCGGTTGATGGCGATTGCGTTGCTCCTTGCGTGGCATCCTGGAAGCGTTTGTGCGCTTGAAAGCTCCCACGCTACCATTTATAGCTAACGGACGGCGAGGGCGGTATCGAATAATCGATAGGTCGTGCGGCGTGGTTATCGCCCGGTAGCTAGCCCTTTCTGGCGATCTGGCAACTCTGTAGATGGACTCCGGATGGCTGTGGAGAGTAGAAAAATAAGGATTAGTTTCCTCCCCTGGAACTGGCGATTTCCCCGTGGTTTCCTGGCTATTCTCCTGTGTTCATGGTGTCTTGAGCGTGGATGATTTGAAGGAGAGCGGCCAGGGTATGTTTTCCCCCTGCGGGGGTGGGGACGTTGGACGAGCGCACTCATCAGCAAGTGGCCCCCACGATACCCTGGTCCTCTTTGGCCCTGGCGTCGTCGTCGTGGTCATCATCCTGCCTGGTGCGTCCATCTGTCTGTGCTGGGTCGTTGCTCTGGCCGTTTTCGTCGTCGTCGTTGTCGCTGTCTTGGTGATATGGCTTCAGGTTCTGAATGCAGGCGGTGCGTCGGCGGCGGCTCCCCGGAATCTGTAGCCGTGCTATATTCGGAGATGGGAACTTGATGACCCGGTATGGGCCCTCGTATTTGGATGCCAACTTGGCGGCAAAGCCTTCGGCGGCGTTTGACAAAACGTGGCGGCGCACGAGGACTAGGGATCCGAGTGGTGGTCTCCACTCGCGTCGGCGCAGGTTATAGTGCCTTCCTTGCTCTGCTGTGGCTCGTTCTGCGTTTTCCCGGGCGACCTGGAAGATGCTGTGGAGCTGCGTACTCCTCTCCGTTGGCGAAAGTTGAGCCGTTCCTCTTCCTGGAGTGACTTCGTCGTAAAGGGTGTTCGGCAGGCGTGGTTCCCGGCCCTGTACAAGGAAGGCGGGGCTGAATCCCGTAGTGTCCGATACGCTGCTGTTAATTGCCAGAGAGATCTCAGGCAGAAGGTGGTCCCAGGCACTCTGCGGCGAATCTCCGAGGTATTGTGCGATCATAGTCTTCACGGTCCGATTGGCCCTCTCCGTGGGATTTTGTCGCGGCGTGTAAGGCGCGGTATGTTGCAATTCCATTCCCAGGGAATTGCAAAAGGCTTGAAAGGCCCGGCTGGTGAATTGCGTTCCATTATCGCAAACGAGAGTCTTTGGGATCCCAAATCGGCTGAGTATCCGCTCCCGAAATGCTCGCTCGAGGTACGGCACCGTTGCGCGGCGTAAGGGGACGAGTTCCACCCATTTACTGAACGTATCAAAGAAAACGAGGAGCACCGTGTTCCCTTGCTTGGACCGTGGCAGGGGTCCCACGAAGTCGGCGCACAGCACGTGAAATGGCTCGTTGACTTGCCGTGTAAACATTTTTCCGGCCGGCTTTTCCTGGCTTGCTTTAAACTTCTGGCAGCTCGGGCATCGTCGCACATACTGGGCCACCTCTCGGAACAGGCCTGGCCAGTAATATTTCTGGGCCACCCGCGTACTGGTTTTGCGGATGCCCAGATGTCCAGCCGTTGGGTGGTCGTGGCACTCTTCCAATACCCTTCGTCGGTATGGGGCTCCCACGCAGAGTTTCCACGGCGTATAGTCTTCTTCCTCGGGGCGTAGACCTATGCGTCGGTACAGCTGACCGTTCTCCTCCCGGAAATCTGGAAACTTCGCTGGCTCCTGTTGAAGTCGTCGTAGCATCTTACGGATCCATTTGCATTCGTTGTCCTGCACCTGCGCCTGTTGAACAGTGGCCAGCGGCTGGCGTAACAATGCGTCGGCGACCAGATTCTGGTTCCCGCGTCGGTAGCTGATATCATACTGGAACTGTTGTAGCTCCAGCGCCCACCCCGCGATCCTGCCCGTAGGGTTGTCAATGGAATTTAGCCACTTGAGTGAATGGTGGTCAGTTAGTACCTCGAAGCGGTATCCCTCGATGTAGCAACGCATTTTTCGGATGCCCCACACGATCGCGAGACATTCTTTCTCCGTCACGAAGTAGTTGCGTTCTGCGTTGTTTAGACGCCGGCTGGCGTATGCGACGACTCGTTCCTGTTCGTCTATGGTCTGGGTCAGCACCGCTCCAATACCATACTCGCTCGCGTCGGTTTGTAGTACGAACTTCGCCTCGAAGTCCGGGCAGGCTAAGATTGGAGCCTCGGTTAGGAGCTTCTTCAGTTCATTGAAGGCTTGTTCTTGCCTCTCAGCCCACTGCCACTTCCGATCCTTCTTGAGTAGAGATGTCATCGGCTCGACTACGTCCGCGAAGTTGGGCACGAAACGACGGTACCATGAAGCTATCCCAAGGCATCGGCGAAGTTCCTTGAGATTCGTTGGCGGCGGCAGCTCCCGTATGGCGGCGACCTTCTCTGGATCGGTTTGTATTCCGGCCTCGCTGATAACGTGGCCCAAATACGTTAGACTGCGCTGGAAGAACTGGCACTTGTCCCGGTTCAGCCGTAAATTTGCTGCTCTGAGTCGGCGGAACACCTCGCGTAGATTCCGGACGTGCTCCTCGAGTGTAGCTCCGACCACGATGATATCATCAAGATATGCGAAGGCGTGTGGCTCCATATCCGGGCCAATGACGGTATCCAGGGCTCGTTGAAAAGTAGCCGGGGCCGAGTGCAAACCAAAAGGCATCACTTTCCAGTGAAACAAACCGCGACCTGGAACGGTGAATGCGGTACACTCACGGCTGGCTGGGGCTACTGGGATCTGCCAGTACCCGTTCTTCAGGTCCAACGTGGATATGTATCGAGCGTTCCGAAGTCGCTCCAATATATGATGGATCCTCGGTAAAGGATAGGCGTCCGGTATGGAGTTCTCGTTCAGCTGCCTGTAGTCCACACACATCCTGACGTCTCCATTCTTCTTAGCGGCGATGACTATCGGAGCACTGTGAGGGCTCCTGGAGGGCTCGATGCGCCCGTCGCGTAGTAGCTCGTCAATCTGGCGGTCGATGACGGCTCTCATTGCAGGGTTCCTGGGATGGTATCGTTGCTTAATGGGGCGGTCGTTGCGCATTACGATGCTATGCTCGGCGATGTGAGAGACGCCGGCGAGGGTATCGAATCGTGCTAGTTCTCGTTCTAGGAACTTTTCCACCCAGGGCTCTGGGTAGTTCCCGTCTTGGCCGCTGGGGCGTTGTTCCTCCTCGGTGCTGCATCTGGCGTTGGCCATTCCGCAAGATGGTGTGCTCTCGCTCGTGGATGATTCTGGTGTCCGGAACCGAACTCTCTTGCCCGTTTGGCGAAAGGGGTTCCGGCGGACAGCCGATGCGTCGGGGAGTGGCAGGATTCCTGCCCAGCTTGGAGCTGTGCCTGCGTCTGCGTGGGCGTGGCGTTGGGTGCCCTCTGGGCGAGCGTGTGTGGGTGCAGCCATGCGATGTCTCTGGGCGTGGTGTTCTTGTGGAAGGTCTTCCTGCTGTGTATCTGGCGGTAGCTCGGGTGGCGATGTGGGCTGCGGCTCCGGATTCACCCTGGCGGTGGCTCCTGCCGTTTCCTCTGCGTCTGTAGGTCGCGTGCTCGGGGGTGCGTGTGCTCTGGCGACGGTGTCTGTGGGGTGTGTATCCATGTTTTTGCTCCGTGGTAATGTGGTTGCGCACTCGCTGAGTGCCGAGTCTGCTGCGCTGGTCTCCGTGGCTCTGGGTTGAATGGGTGGCTGGAGCTTGAGGGTTTGGCCGCCGCACTGTAGTGTAGCCCCGCTGTAGCATAGAAAGTCCATGCCGAGCAGGAGGCCATCCAGCACATCTGCCATGATGAGAACAGAGATGCGGACGCGGGTCTCTCCCAGCTGGATCGTGGTTCGTAGAGCATGCGTGAGCTCCCTGTCGGTTCCGTCTGCTAATTTTACTTGTGTCCGTACTGCGCGATGGTTCCTCCCGTCGTCCAGCTCTTGTGCCAGGCGTCTGCTTATGAAGCTGTGAGAGGCTCCCGTATCCAAAGTCGCGGTGAAGGGGCGTCCCTCCATGGTGACTTGGGCACGAATACGGCTGTGGTCTTGGATGATGGCGTTGTTTATTGGCTCGGGGAGGTCGGTGGGTTCCTCGAGTGACTCCCGGATACTCGAGGCCCTTGCCCGTTTCCCGGCGCTTGGTTCCGACAGCAGTCGATGGTCCTGACACCTGGTCGGCCGCAGTCCCAGCAGAAGATAATCCTAGGGCTCCTGCATTCCGTGGCGTAGTGGCCGGCTTGGCCGCAGTTTCGACATGCGGTTCTCACATCGATTGGTTCCCCTGTTGCTCTGCCTTCCTGGCCCTGGCTTCCCGTTCGGGTTCGGGTGGCAGCGTCGTTGGAGGCATTCCGAGGACGTGGCATCGGTGGCGTGGTACGTGCGTCGGACGGATTCCCTCGGGTTTGTTGGGCCTGGGTACCGAATAGACCCTCTGCGTCCCGCCGGTTCGGTGGGTATCCCCGAGTGGTTCGCTCTCCTCTGCTCCTGGCGACTTCGAAGTTCACCACCAGGTGGGTGAGCTCGGTCAAGGTCCTAAAGTCCTGGCGGCGTGTAAACATCTGGTATTCGGGCAGCATGTTCTCGTATATCCGTTCAAGCTCTTGCTCGGGTGAGAACCCTGCGCGGCGCATCTTTAGGCGAAGATCGACGAGGTATTGTTTAAACGGCTCGTTCGGTTTCTGATAGTGGGCTCGGATTTCGTCGTCAAGGCGTTGATAGTACCTAGGCGGTAGAAAGAAATCCAAGAACTCCCGGCGCACTTGTGCCCAGGTTCCTCCCTGCAGGCCACTGGTACGGAACCAGCTCTCCGCTCTGCCGGATAGAAGTACGACGATGGCGTTGGATAAGTACTTCCTGTCGATCCGGTATGTGTCTGCCCGTTCCTCGATTAGTTCCACGAAGCTGAGCGGGTCCGAGGTGCCATCGAAGGACAGCCCCCATTTGGTCATCTTGTCCACCAGCATGGAGCTGGGGTTCACGTCGAACTGAGAGGTACCACCGCGTGGAGATCCCTCGGATTTCCCGCGTGATACTGGTGCTGGCGACGTACTGCGAGGTACGGCTAAAGTATGATGCGTGG